GAACGCAAATAATTCGTGCTCTGTCATTGCTTTTATCATTGTGTTACTTCCGCTTCAAACACTCAATCCATGTACTATTTTATATTTCGTCTGTGATTAATTGTCTTTAATATTCGCAATGCCAACCCGTTCATGAATGAATTGTCGTGCTGTAATTTCATTGGCAATAAACTGCGCTAAATTACCCGCTTTGATATCAAGCTTCCCATGCGGGACAACGTTTTTCGATACGATGAATTTTCCATCGGCCGGTTCATCGGTAATGTCAGGTGGACATAACAAAGTCCATTCGAGATCTTTCTCTTGCTGCAGCATATGGTAAATGATTTCGTGTTCATCGGATACAGCACGATACATGGTTGGATATTCAGCTGTATGTTTCCAAAGTTGTTTTGGATCTTCGCCATTATTTGCATCCAACATGCCAGCACCGGCAAATATCATGAAGCGAGGTTTCTTGCCCGTATCAGCAATTGCATTGAAAACTTCGAGAATGAAGCGAGTTCCTTTCGATTGTAAATTCAATTTAATATCAAGACCTTCATTGATACTCGAAATCACCACATCGGATTTGCTATGTGTGGCGCATGAAGTCACAGCACGTTTAAGGTCACTCTTTGTCAAAACGTCACCTTCAATTACTGTCAAATTTGATGAATTTAGCAGGGTTAAATCGATTCGATCACGATTACGAACGAAAGCCGTTACTTGATTACCTTTCTTCAGCAACTCACTGAGAATATGACGGCCAGCAAGTCCTGTTGATCCAAATGTGAGAACATGCATGTCGCTAGAAACTGAGACAGTGGTTATATAAGCACACAATGATAAAAGCAATGACAGAGCACGAATTATTTGCGTTCTTCAATCAACAAATGAGACGTGAGGAGGATAGAAACAAAAAACGAAGTGCATCATTATGAGAAAAATAATTCATAGTAAAATAAAGTGTACCACATGTATGTGTCGTAAAAATTTTTGCTGCACAGACGCTTAGGGGGTTGTGTTGCTCTTTTCTTTCTGTCGTAGAAAATGTGTTACGATGAAGGATTACCGTAAAATTAGATGGGTTGACTGTTATAGAGAAATGCAAAACTATTAAGGCCTCCCATCAGAAAATCCATTTTTCGGTAAGGGTGTGAGTGTGGGTGTGGGTGTGGTCTGGGTGTGGGTGTGGTCTGTGTGTGGGTGTGGGTTTGGGTATTACTATTCTCTTCAACACTGCTACACACCCACACGACACGCCGACACCCACACCCGCACCCACCCACACTTGCACCTACCCACACCCACACACCCATACCCACACCCACACACCCATACCCACACCCACACCCACCCATACCCACACCCACACCCATCCACATCCACATACCCACACCCATACCCACATCCACATACCCACACCCATATCCACACCCACACACCCACACCCTCTCTTTTGTTTCCGATAATAGAAAATATCTGTCAATGTTTGTCCAAGTATGGCGATGCGAAATGAAGTCATGAACTGTCTTTTAATTGTCATGAGATTGAGAAGAGTCTTTGCTTCCGAATCGAAAAAAATTGATGACTCTGTCTCGTTTTACTGCACGCGAGTGTTTGGTGGAATCTAGGTAAACGACGAAAATGATTTATATTATTCAAAGAACTGTTGACATACTCGAGTGTTCTTTGCCCTCGGTGGTTCTTCTTTCTCTGACAGCAGATGGAGGAAGCGATATGGGTCGTGGTTCGTTCTATTTAAAAGAAAACATTCGAAAGATTTTCTATCTACTTTATACCACAGACCTGCACAACTGCGCTTGTCGTTGGTACTGTTTCACGGAAATAATTAGCAAACCCACAAGCGTGGTTCCAAATTTGCTCTACTGTGGCGATTGGTATGTGAAGTAAGTTACTGACGCGATCGGCCATCGTCGACCAAAACCTCCTATTTTCAGAAACTGTTCGAAACCAAAACAGTTGCCTGTCGCGATCGAGACATTGAGCAATACCGAATATGAGCTCTTCTACTCCCGATGGTTCCTTCGACACTCCCCAGTCTTCATCCAAATACTGTCGGCTATTGACCATGGTGCAAAGAGCGATTCGACCAAAATACACAATACCATTTTCTTCTCGTCGCTGTGCTGGTAGTTGTGAACTCTCGATTAAGTCTGTAAATTGTTTCATAACTTGAAGACGTTTATTGCCTGCATACATATTTGTGCAAACTAGTGCGACGAATATATCTCGATCGATACATGTTTGTACAAACCATGCAACTTGTTTCGGAACAACAAATGAGCCGGGCGATGCACAATAGATCATACAAATCGGTTTTGTCTCGTCCATTATTTGAGAAAGAAACGAACGAACCTCACTTTCTGTCCACTTCTCGATACCGGGCGTATCCCAAAACGCAATGGTGTACCTCAAAAGACCATCGCTAGATTCAACATTGTGCTCCATTATGTACTTCTCAATTTTTTTCGTGCATGAATTAAGACTGCTACTCGTCTTAGCTACTTCTTTGCCGATAAGTGCATTGATGAGTGTACTTTTACCAACTCGACTAGCTCCACAAACAGTAATTGTGTAATCTTGACTCATTAATATATCTAGAATATTTTTAAAAGAACACAATGCGAAACGGAAAAAAGCTCTGAACTTTGATTACAAAATAGAAATAACTACATGAATTCGTCAAAAAATTGAAAAAACAACTTTCGAAATTCTTTTCCTATGTTTTCTGAATTTTGTACAACCGCTTCTGCTAACTTCTGCAGTCGAGACAAACGTTGAAGTGCGAACCCATGTGCCTGATGATGAAGTTTTTCCCAGAAGCTACGATTATCCAGCACTACTTGACACCAGCCGCGTAGATTGTCTTCCGACAGTGATTGCATGATGGAATATGTGAGCTCGTCAATACCGCGAACTGGCTTTATCTCGGATGATAAATCAATATTGGAAAAAGGCTCGCTATTCACCATGGTGCACATAGCTTTGTCGCCGAACGAAGTAACAATGTGGATTGGTAGAATAGGATCAGGTATTTGGAACTCCAGATCCTTTCGAGCCCCATATCTAGCAAACAAATGCTCGAGATCTTGCATCGCAGCTGCTCGTACGCTTCTTGAACCTGTCAAAGTGAAATACTTCTAATTTCTTGGAATCTATATATATAATGTTCAGTGTCTGTGTGTGTGTGTGTTTCTCTGTGCCAGGTCAAAGGTTAAAGCTCAAGCAAGGCTGTAAGGGGTAGGGCTATAAGGTGGTAAAGCTATAAAGGGATAACGGTATAAGGGGGAATACTACTAGCGGGGAAGACTATAAGGGGAAAGACTATAAAGGGTAAGGCTCTAAAGGAGTAAGGCAATAAAGGAGTAAGGCTATAAAGAGATAAGGCTATAAGGAAGTAAGGGGATAAGGCTATAAAGCGGAAGGCTATAAAGGAGTAAGGCAATAAGGGCATAAGGCTATAAGGGGGAAGACTATAAGGGGGAACGCTATAAGGGAGCAAGGCTATAAGGAGCGAACGCTATAAGGGAGTTAGGCTATAAAGGAGTAAGGCAATAAGAGGGTACGGCTATAAAGAGGTAAGGCTATAAGGAAGTGAGACTATAAGGGAGGAACGCTATAAGGGGTAAGGCTATAAGCGGATAATGCTACAAGAGCTACAAGAAGTATAAGGCTATAAGGCTTTAAGGCTACATCGGCTATTAGCGATATTAGGATATCACGTCGTAGGGCTTCTATGTACATAATGTCGAGTGTCTGTGTGCCTGTTACCGCGTGAAAGGTTAAAGGTTTGAGGTCGTACGTTAAAGGAAAAAAAGCTACCACGTAGTATGTACGGGTTCTCGCTAGTACAATTTATATTCAAAAATACATCTGCTCATCATTCTATCTCTCTAAAACCTCTCGAATTACAGCACTAACACCAAGGGGGAAACATGATACTTTTGTACTTTAAAGTACGTTAAAGTACCATAAAGTACTGTAAAGTACCTTAAAGTACACTAAAGTACTGTAAAGTACCTTAAAGTACACTAAAGTACTATAAAGTATGTGAAAGTATCTATCAAATACTAAAAACATCGAACTGCTCGTTATGGTGCCATACTTTCTTCGATCAAGCGTCAACGACTGAACATTCATATAGTAAATAACTCGCAGCATTTTGATCGGATTGAAATACTGGGTCAATTTTGTAACCTTCTACTTTGGTCTAGGGAAGGGAAGTTACTGTTTTCTTACCACGGAACAGATGACTGAGAATTTGCCACCCAAATTCCTCGATATGGGGGAGGGGGGTATTTCGGGGAGATAACGATTTTTTTATAAAGTTTGACCTAAGGTAATCGGGGTCGAGGAATCCGAATCTGTAATCAGTTTCTCAAAATTCATTACCCTATTTTTTTGAGAAGGGAGGGGTATTTCGGGGAAATAACGATTTTTATAAAGTTTGATTAAAAGGAATCAGGGTCAACGAATACGATTCTCTAATGGGTTTTCTAAGTGAGAGTTCATAAGAGAAACATGGAGCCGAGGCACTGGTCAAAATTTTGAGTTTTGATTTTTTATGTGCATTCGAAAAGCCCATCATCTAAAAACCACTAACCCTAAGTTTTAGCCCATTTGCGTGTTCCATAGTAAAGTTAGTCGAGTTCCACTTTTTGGCACTACCTACACTGTAAAAAAATAGGTGTTTTACCGAACCTGTGCCCAGGATAAGAACCTTTTTGGTTCCGTACAAAATTGCCGAGCTTAAAAAAGCTCAGTAATTTTCGCACAGAACTAAAAAGGCTCAGTAACTTTGTACGGAACCAAAAAGGTTGTTATTCTGCGCACAGGTTCGGTAAAATGCCTATTTTTTGTACAGTGTACCTAGTATCCAGAAAATAGTGATAAACTGACCCATAAATACCGACTAGGATTATACTTCAACAAGTTAGAATTTTTTCATGCGGTAACAGGCACACAGACACTCGACATTATGTACATAGAAGCCCTACGACGTGATATCCTAATATCGCTAATAGCCGATGTAGCCTTAAAGCCTT